TCGCCGTCGATCAACATCTCGACGTTCCGTGCAAACATACGTGGACGTTCACCCTTCTCATTTCGGAAGCTACCGTCTGACGTCATGTCTACCCTACGCGGACACAAATCCCGTGTCACTACGGCTATTGGCACATTAACCGAGATGATTTCCGCTGTCGATTCTTTCTACTTGACTGCACTCGACACTACTCCTACTCCAGAAGTTCAACTGTGAAATATTCTTCGTTGTAGGAGAGCAATATCAGCCGCCAAGTTCGGAATAGAGAGAGCACTGAAAATCCTCAAGGAACGGTGCAATCACTTCTACGTTATATCCGGACTCAAACAGATTGTGCAACTGTTAGTGAGGACGTCGATCAGTTCTGGAATGAAATGCAAGGCGACAGGCAGAGGAATGCAATGCGCTCGAGACCATCACAGGATACACAGCTCATGATGGATGGAGCTATTGAGACTTCAACTCTTTCCGTCCACCTCACCGCTGCGCTAAAAGGTGAAAATATAGTTGGAGGAGCCACACATTTGCAAACGCTCGTTTGTACACAGTAAACTATCTCACAGCATCCTTTTCCAATTCTTTTTCCAACTGCAATGTTTCGCCCAAATTCATAATTTCACTCCCCTTGGTACTCCCACTCTCCTGAAAAGCACAGCTCACGATCATTCTGGGTTACTCAGATAATGACGAAAAATGAAACAGAATGTGGAGAATAGTGAGGGCGAAGAAGGCACGCGAATCGATATTTCCAAAGTAATAAAAGTTTCCAACAGAGTTATAAAAGTGGCTGGACGAGAATAAGCCCAGTGAAGTGAAGTAAAGGGGGGGGGGTTATTCGGACGAGCTATACAATGTACTCCTTTGCGTGTAAGTACTGGTGCGAATAGCTGAATACAGTAAGCAAGAATATCTTCTGGAATTTATTCACTCAAACGATTGAGTAACACTATTGACAACAGAAATAACCAGTCCTTCTTATTTCCTCAAGATAAAAACAAGGTAAAAGAAGGCAGACAAAAATATCACAGAATAACAGAATAATAATGAAACATAACTTCACCACCCCGCGATCTGCTGATTGCATGTAGGTCCTGATGCCATTAGCGCAGGTATCGCCTCGACAAGTCCGACATAACATCGATCGATGAGTGTGGCATCCGACCGGTCCGGTTATGGGGCTTCTATTATGCCCTAGCCTTTGAGTTTTTGGGTCCGATAGCGTCCTTTCTATTAGCCTTGGAAGCTAGTGAGTAATCCTCAAGGAAAATCTAAGGCACCGTTTTTATCATTATTTGACAGTTAAGATTCGACAAAAAACCCCACCATCGTTTCCCAGTATTTTTTAGGCGGCGCTTCACCAATTTAGGCTCATGAAGGTCCGGCGACCTATCTTCCTACTCTCTATCCAGAAAGAAATGGACAAATACACTAGACGTAACGTAGAATAAAATTCACAAAGATACTGATATCACAACAGTAAGGTGAGATCGATCTTTATACCACTGAATGATTTGAGAGTGCAGGATGACAAAATCACTGTAACTCATACAGCCGGTCGAATGAATAACTAAGAAGGGCGTCACAAGGTTAGAAGAACTGGGAGTAGGGGAAAGTGAGTGAGAGAGAAAGCTGACTGATTACCGTTGTCGCTGTATGTGAATACCAACACGAGCTAAGCCGTAATATTAAGCCTCCCTGAAAGAAACTCTCCAGTTTCGAAATACGCCTGCCTTTTACTATTCCTGAAGTATAGTATTGAATAATACTACTTGGAAGTTTAGAAAAGCTGAGTTTAATAGCGTATTAAACTTCCTTCCTATCATGCTTTTAAGAACATCAGGCAATGAATATTCTCCTTTGTTGCCGATCTTGCGCAAAAACTGGTCTTCGTCTCTGCGAACATTCAAGACTTTTAAATCGTTGTCGAACGTTACTCTTCACGTATTTCTGAGCGGCCTCTTCCTCCTTTGGCTCCAAGAGGTGCCCAACGCATGATTCTCGGAATATGCTGCTGCGGCATACGTAAGACTTGACCAGAAAATCAAAGCCGACGCTGTGCATAATCACCTGAAGGCATACCAGAGCGGGGCAAAACTAACTGGTTTGTCAGGTAGGAATCATTGGTAGGAATGACAGTAGGAAAATACAAGCAAGAAGCAATATCTTGACGCTTTGGGATATAAAAGACATTGACCATATTGGAAGAAATCTCAAGAACGCAGCTGTGGCTTATGCAAGCCAACTACGGACAACAGTTTTGGTATCGCCATTGTGATATAGTAAAGCTCGAGATAAGACATTGCATTTGCCACATTGATATTCACCTGCGTGTTGACCGACTCTTGTGGCCTTCAATTTATTGGCACTAGTGCGTAACCTGAAATGCTTGCTACCTCATTGCGAGAATCGGTGACGTTTTGCAACTCGTCTTTGTACTCAGTGATAAAAGCAATGATGCCATCCGCAAAATCTGAATCAGTCGACTTTCCACTATTAAACCAGCCTACGCCTGCTGTTGTTTGCTGCTTTGTTTCTCTCATGGTAAAATATAGGCAGATATTGAAAAATACTGGCGAATGATGCATCCTCGCAATACTCCCAAAACGATCTCAAAGAATGGCATATAAACTGTATTCGTTGCAACCCATCGGGATCAGATGTTATGCAAATTCTTGAGTAAGCGAACAAAAAGCCTCGGCATACCTTCCATTCTAAGAATTTCCCATGATTCGCGGTGTATGCGAAGGCCTTTCCAAAATACATGAAGTTGATGAAGATTGGGCGCATGAACTCAATGCATTGCTCGCTAATGGTACAAATAGTGAATATCCGCACATAGCACAATATTCCGCCCTTAACTCAGACTGGTTTCCCCGCCCTGCCAGTACAACACAAAATGCATTCCCTGGTACCGAAAAATCGCGATATCTCTCACCATTCGGGTCGCACGGCCAACGCTGGGCTTCCCTCCATCCTAAGAATGGGTTTGGAAAATTGCCTGACTGGCCCACTCCTTCTTCTTAACAACTTATACTATTTCGAAAACGAAATTAAACAGAGGACCAACAGGATATGCGAATGGTATTCGAAATGCGCCGATGCTCATGCCTATGTTTGCAAGAATCGACCTGCTGCTGTTCATCCTAAAAATAATGACCCACTGGAGGTTCAACCGTTGGGCAAGCAAAGCCGTGGATTGTTCTCACAAATTTGTCGAGTCATAGTAATATCATAATCGAATGTCTTTATCAAAGAAGCCTCCTATTACTTCGGAATGTCATTAAATGAGAATCTGAAATTATCAGGGTCGGATGAGTGTCGCCAAGATTGCTATCGAAGCCAAAAGAAACCTTGTTTTTCATTGAGCCACAAACTTCCCTGAATAGCAGTCGTAATCTTATAGCAAGAAATGGGCCACTTTTCATTTTCTTATGATTCATTACCTTCACTCGATCCCTATCCTTGCACTTACTCTTCTTGTTGATTGAAACATATCAAAGAGTTGAAGTTAGGTAGATAACAAGTGCGTTAGGATTCAATTGGTAAGTAGTGCCCGCTCTCTAACCAGGGAGGGGTAGTCTTTTTATCTTGGAACTTTGAATGGAGACCCAGATGAATCGGTAGAGTTTTGAATGCTGTTTACGAAAATGGAAATTTAAACTGCAAAGTGGTCCTCCTTAAAAAGTAATGGGGGCCCGAATTTTGCTCAACAGTAGTATCAACTGGATATGCAAACTCATCGCCTTGATATCAAGTGCCCACGTGGCCTCGTGGTAGTGGTCTCGCTTCATGGACGTATGATGAGGGTTTGCTCCCCGCCATTGCCCGTACTTTTGCAAAGCGTTTTTTCATTTCATCAAGGGCTCCCTAAACGCAACGTTTGCTGACATTTTTTCAGTGAACACTTCATTTCTGCTTTTACGTTCTCTCGTCACCCCTATTCAGAAAAGTGGTTCTGCACGTTCATAGTGTGACTCATTTTTATTTTGAAATTCAAGGAAAATTTAACAGAAAGTTACCAGAGATGTGTAATATGCCTGCAAGAAACTCAACATTGATAAAAAAAACATTAAAAAATGTGTGATGCACACATGTTCTTCACAAACTGCGCACCTTATACATGCTGATTCTCTGCATCCGGTGACAAAACAGTCAATCGTTCCAAGACTGAATGCAGAGACGGATTGCAAGAGGATTGATCAGAATTTCGGATTCCTTGATTTTTAATATAAAAAAGAGTCATACTATTTACATGCAGAACCACTTTCCTTGAATAGGGGCGACGAGAGAAAATGAAAGCAGAAATGAGGTGTTCACTTAAAAAATGTCACAAAACGTTTAGGGAGCCCTTGATGAAAAGAAAAAACACTTTGCAAAAATGCGGACAATGGCAGAGAGCAAACCCTCATCATTCGCCCATGAAGCGAGACCACTACCACGAGGCCACGTGGGCACTTGATATCGAAGCGACGAGTTCGCATATGGAATTGATACTACTGTCGAGCAAAATTCGGGCCCCCATAACTTTTTTAAGGAGAACCATTTTGCAGTTTTAATTTCCATTTTCGTAAACAGCATTCAAAACTCTATCGATTCATCTGGGTCTCCTTTCAAAGTTCCAAGATAAGTAGACTACCCTTCCTTGGTAAGACCTCTTCTATCTTCAGTGTTCCCATCCTGCCTCTTCTACTCCTACTTTGAGCTCTCCAAGCTCACGAGAATGGAGTTATAAATTTCCGCTCTGTAGGGGGGGGGGGTGAAGCGGTTGATTCAGGTGATTGACTGCTGCGATCACGAAGCAGTGATGGAATGAAGGATAATGAGAAGATGAAGTAACCAACAATAACAATACTATATAATCCCCCTTGTGGTTGGTAATAAACAGTTCTACACCTGTGTCGTCTACTTCCTGAGTGGCGATCAGGACGTAACTCACGGACAAGAAGACCGACGCAAGCAGAGGAGACCGCAGTCGATAAAGCATCCAAGAGGAGCTCAAGACGTCACATCACACGACGGTACCTTTTCTATTAAAGCGTCCGCGGTGGCGGAACCGGGTACCTCAGTAGAGGTCTACCGCGGACGGCGCTTATGTGCCAGGTGCACCGTGGCCCACTCGGTGGCGCCTATTCAACAATTTCCTCGTACTGAGGAAAGTCAGTGATGAAATTGAGCAGAGACTGATCTTTTTGCAGAAAATAGGAGGGAGTAATTACGAGCTGTTAGAGTCGCTGCTACAAGGCAGGGAGCCAGAATAGGTGCCGCTGATAGAGCTGAGCGAAACAATGGCAAACCACTTCCAACCGAATAAATTGGTCCTGGCGGAAAGGTACGGATTGATGTCCCGAACACAACGTCCTGGATAAACTCCGCAGGACTATTACGCCAAGTTGCAGGAGGCTGCAGCGACGTGTGAGTTTGAAAAGATAAAAGGCCATCGTGACGCCATGGTCACAATGGTGTTCATAGGAGGGTTAGCCTCAGTAGACACCACGAAAAGGCTTCTGGAACGGGAAAACCTCACTTCAAAGGAGGCGTTAGAGGCAGGCGAGGCTTTTGAAAGGGTGAAAAGAATGCGCCTCATCTAAAAGAGGGCCTCCATGAGGTGGGTATTTCTCTGGTACAGGCTAGAGAGGAGAAACTGTCACAGAAGCCAAGACAAAATCTGGCGTCCGCGAGAGTCAGACCACTATCAGGTAAGAGTCGTGTTGAGGAGCAGCCGCGAAATATATGGAAAGGATCGAACAACCCCTCAGCCGTACTGGTACAATGCACATGTTGTGGAGGTCACGGGCATGCCGCTTATCAGTGCTTCAAACGGCAAACATCATTTTGTACGGTTTGATCCCGACCTGGGCACATGGTTATAGCATGTAGAACAAGGATGGCAAAGACAAGGAAAGTCTCCCGCCGGATTAACTGGTGTGTGGAGCCCAGCACCTCCGACCTGGACGAGGCAGATAGTAGTGAGAACAATATAGATAGGTTGATTCATAAGGCGCATAAGGGTCGCAGAGAAGAGCTGGAGAAGTCAGAGTACCAGAGGGAAGTAAGCAAGACGGCCCAAAATCAGGTGGTTCGACGATCCAAAGAAACACGAAGATCGAGAGACCGACTGTCGTGTCGTAAGGCCAAGGTAGAAGCGGCTGCCATGCTGAAGATAAAAATTCAGGGTAATGATGTAGCGTGTGAATTAGATACCGGAGCTTCCGTATCAATACTGGATATAGCGTCATGGAGACGAATAGGGAAACCTCCATTGACGGAATCTACGATCGAGGCTACGGCCTATAATAATAGCACCGTTCATTTCTGTAGTAAGTGCACGATATCGGTCGAGTTCAAGGGTAAACAGGCCGAAATGGATCTGCATGTATTAGAAGGGGCTAGTCGTACATTGTGTGGTAGGGATATGATTAAAGCGTTAGAAATTAAATGTGGGCCGCATTACCCATGCATATGTGGGGTACAAAATAAACCCCGAGAAAACGCCGAAACTAGGCTTGCTAGAATCCTAGAGGAGAACAAAGCTTCATTTAAGCCTGGCCTAGAAAAGGGTACAATAACACAGGCTACGCTGAAGTTTAAAGTAGAACGATACCGAAGTTCTTCAGGGCTCGACCTGTTCCTTTAGCCCTCCGACCTAAAGTGGAAGAGAAAATAAAAGAGTTAGTAAGTATTGGCACATTAACCCACGTGGACCATTCGGAGTGGGCGACTCCGTTAGTGGTCGTCCCTAAGCCTGGAGGTAAAATCAGGATATGTGGAGATTACAAAATAACAATCAATCCCCAAATAGATATAGACCAATATCCATTGCCGAAAGTAGATGACTTATTCCATATTTATTATGTTGAATGGAGGACAGAAATTCTCAAAAATGGATCTATCGGAGGCGGACATGCAGGTCGAACTGGACAAGGAATCCAAGAAGTATACGACAGTAAATACCCAAAGGGACTGTTCGAGTATAACAGGATAGCCTTCAGAATAGCATCCGCGCCGGCAATTTTCCAAAAGATAATGTGACAACACTGGCCGAAATAGAGGGAGTCGTGATTCACTTAGATGACATTACGGTGACAGGATCGGATGATACGACCCATCTTAATAGACTCGAACAGGTGTAACAAAGGTTGAAAGCAGCCGGCGCAGATGGGTTTTTGGGCCATATCGTGGATGCTCACGGAATACGCCATCCCCTCGGAAAATAGAGGCAATTGTTAAGATGCCAGCACCAAAAAATATTAAGGAACTGGCATCCTTTTTAGGTATGGTTCAATACTATAGCAAATTTGTGCCTAACTTGTCAACGTTAGCAGCTTCGCTGAATGCGTTGAGGAAGAAAGGAACAGGGATGGAGAACGTCCAAGAGCGTTTAACGCAGGGACAAAAAGCAAAGGCTCACAGAAACTGATCTACTGGCACATTGCAACCCTAAGGTGCCGGTGGTGTTAGCAACAGATGCGTCCGATTATGGAATGGGAACAGTAATATATCATAATTATAAAGATGGTCAGGAGAAAGTTATTGCATATTCTTCTCGTTTTATTTATTTATTTATTTATTACATGTCAAGCATGTGTGGTTGCCAGATGGCAATAGAAACAGAGTCACAATAGGATACACACAACATAATACAATTAAGAAAGATAATTCGCTAGAGCTTCATCGGAGAACTTTACTAAGATGGGTTTTGAGGGCATTCATCGACTTAGGGAGGGAGTCAAATTTAGTTAAGCGATTGTACACAGATCCAACGCGATTTACGAAGAATTTGTGCCTAAGATTTGAACGAGCTGCTCTGAAGCTTATCTTACTTTGGCTTCCTCTAGTAATTGATGGCATCATAGGAAATAAGTCAGTACATCGAATCTTAACTTGGCCACGGAGTATTTTGCTGACCATTATCACATCTCTCATTCTCCTTCTAAATGATAGCGACTTCAAACCTAGAAGACGGTTACGAGATGCAGAATCTGTTATATCTGCGTATGGTAAATTATGGCAGCGAAGAATCAATTTGCGTGTAAAACTATTTTGAACCGCCTCCAATCGATTTATATTACGGTGTTTCGAGGGGTTGAAGACTGTCGTGCCGTACTCCAAAATTGGTCTGACATAAGTTTTATAGGCAGCAAGGAGGACCTTTGGATTATTTGATGCCAACGCTTTAAATATATTACAAACTTTTCTTTGGGCTGCAAAAGAGATTTGTTCACAATGTTGAGGGAAGTCAAGTTTTTCGTTAATGTGGAATCCTAGATCCATGGTAGAAGGTACCACAGTCATTCTCATTCTCACCGGCTTGCGTGCGGTTGCTCTGTTCTACGTCTCTCGTTATTCTCAAGCCCGCCGGTTCATCTATTGGTATTATTACCACACTTTCTGTATCGAAGGATTGTGCATCACACATTGCTCATAGTGGCACGTGAGCACTCAAGTTTTGTGAAGGTGCCACTTCATAAGGTATATTGTTTCGTTGAATTTGTTCTTCGCACTGGATTCGATTGCCGCTGAATAATTCTTTCGATTTGTTCATCGATCTTCGTTCCACATGAAGTTAAGAAGTGTTGTGGCTCAAGAATCTATTGGACAAAGCTGTGATGGAATGGATATGAGTGGTGTATGTTTACCAAAAGAGCTACAGGAACAAGTTGCGCTTTTATCGAAATCGAATCGCGTGGCAGATGGAGTCAAGAAAGTGATAACTGCAATAATACGTGAACTTCACTCTCTACACGTTGAAAACGCTGAGTTAAGGCAAGGACTTTGTAATGTTCGTAAGGATATGTCTAATGATTCTTCAATAAGAAATGATATCACACACATACAAGACTCTCAAGTGGATCAAGCCACTGACATGGAATTATCAAAGCCAGATGTAATGCTGTCTCATCAGGAAGTTGAGAGGAAACGTTCAATCATTGTTATTGGAGTACCGGAACTAAAGTCATCGAGTTCTAGAGATCGTATATCGTATGATTGTGCTAGTGTTTGTAACATCCTTGATTTTCTGAATGTGGAATGTAACCCACTCACAGTCTATCGACTTGGCCGGCCTAGAGTAGGTAGGGATAGATTACTGGAAGTTGCTTTGCCATTTCATGCTTTTCAACGACTTGCATTGAAACGAGCCTCGCGTTTGCGCTATTTTACTGGTCGAGGGGTCTACATAAGAGAGTCCCTTACCCCAGAAGAAAGGAAGCGTAGACGTGAGTTGAGGGATCACAAGTCTGAAAAAGGAGGTATAACGTCCTATAAAATGCAGTCCAACGTTAATGATGGTTTGTCGCCTACCGCCACTTCTTCTCCCAGACCCAGAAATGCAACTAGTTCCTCCGCTAAAGTCGGGGGAAACTGTTAGATGTTCCCCGGTCTGTTCGTATGTTAAGGTTCTTTTACGCAAATGTAAGGTCTGTCTCTAAAAATGCGAGCTTTATAAAGATATTGTTGT